TTATTTTTGCCCAAATAGAAAAGAGCAGGGCGAACATGGTCCCCTTGGAAGTGACCAGGGACTTTATGGGCAATTTGTCTGTAAAACATTGGAACTTCAAAATTTTCGAAGTTCCAATGTTTTACAGACAAAGTTTGATGTCGAAAGAAACTTTAGGTTTTTTTCACTGAGGAATCCCTATTCTTGCCCAAAAAGAAAAGAGCAGGGCGAATGTGGTCCCCTTGGAAGGGGCCAAGGACTTTAAGGGTGCGATTTGGAAGTTCCAAGGTTTTACAGATAAAGTCAGATAAAGAAATTTTGTCGAAAGAAATTTTAGGTTTTTTTCACTAAGGAATTCCTATTTTCGCCCAAAAAGAAAAGAGCAGGGCGAACATGGTTTCCTTGGAAGGGACAAGGAACTTCATGCGGCACGCACTTTTTCTTCTAAAGAATTCCAAGGGCTCACAAACAAACTATCTTTGGTTTTTTTTCCACTGAGAAATTCCTATTTTTGCCCAAAAAGAAAAGAGCAGGGCGAGCATGGTCTCGCTGAAAGCAAAGAAAGGGGGACTCTATGCGGCACGTATTTTATTTCTAACGAACTCCAAGGGCTCACAAACAAACTACCCTTGGGCTTTTTTTTTCACTGAGGAATCCCTATTTTTGCCCAAAATGAAAAGAGCAGGGCGAATGTGGTCTCCTTGGAAGTGACCAAGGACTTTAAGGGTGCGATTTCGAAGTTCCAAGGTTTTACAGGTAAAGTTCGAAATTTTGTCGAAAGAAATTTTAGGTTTTTTTCACTGAGGAATCCCTATTTTTGCCCAAATAGAAAAGAGCAGGGCGAACATGGTTTCCTTGGAAGGGACAAGGAACTTCATGCGGCACGCACTTTTTCTTCTAAAGAATTTCAAGGGCTCACAAACAAACTATCTTTGGTTTTTTTTCCACTGAGGAATTCCTATTTTCGCCCAAAAAGAAAAGAGCAGGGCGAACATGGTTTCCTTGGAAGGGACAAGGAACTTCATGCGGCACGCACTTTTTCTTCTAAAGAATTCCAAGGGCTGACAAACAAACTATCTTTGGTTTTTTTTCCACTGAGAAATTCCTATTTTTGCCCAAAAAGAAAAGAGCAGGGCGAGCATGGTCTCGCTGAAAGCAAAGAAAGGGGGACTCTATGCGGCACGTATTTTATTTCTAACGAACTCCAAGGGCTCACAAACAAACTACCCTTGGGCTTTTTTTTTCACTGAGGAATCCCTATTTTTGCCCAAAAAGAAAAGAGCAGGGCGAATGTGGTCTCCTTGGAAGTGACCAAGGACTTTATGGGCAATTTGTCTGTAAAACATTGGAACTTCAAAATTTTCGAAGTTCCAATGTTTTACAGACAAAGTTTGATGTCGAAAGAAACTTTAGGTTTTTTTCACTGAGGAATCCCTATTTTTGCCCAAAAAGAAAAGAGCAGGGCGAGCATGGTCTCGCTGAAAGCAAAGAAAGGGGGACTCTATGCGGCACGTATTTTATTTCTAACGAACATTAAGGGCTCACAAACAAACTACCCTTGGGCTTTTTTTTCACTGAGGAATCCCTATTTTTGCCCAAAAAGAAAAGAGCAGGGCGAATGTGGTCTCCTTGGAAGTGACCAAGGACTTTACGGGCAATTTGTCTGTAAAACATTGGAACTTCAAAATTTTCGAAGTTCCAATGTTTTACAGACAAAGTTTGATGTCGAAAGAAATTTTAGGTTTTTTTCTCGCCGTGGAATTCCTACTTTTGCCCAAATAGAAAAGAGCAGGGCGAACATGGTTTCCTTGGAAGGGACAAGGAACTTTATGCGGCACGTATTTTATTTCTAACGAACTCCAAGGGCTCACAAACAAACTACCCTTGGGCTTTTTTTCCACTGAGGAATCCCTATTTTTGCTCAAAAAGAAAAGAGCAGGGCGAATGTGGTCCCCTTGGAAGGGGTCAAGGACTTTAAGGGCGCGATTTCGAAGCTGCAAGGTTTTACAGATAAAGTTTGATGTCGAAAGAAATTTAAGGTTTTTTTTTCAGGGAGGAATTATTTTTGCCCAAATAGAAAAGAGCAGGGCGAACATGGTCCCCTTGGAAGTGACCAGGGACTTTATGGGCAATTTGTCTGTAAAACATTGGAACTTCAAAATTTTCGAAGTTCCAATGTTTTACAGACAAAGTTTGATGTCGAAAGAAACTTTAGGTTTTTTTCACTGAGGAATCCCTATTCTTGCCCAAAAAGAAAAGAGCAGGGCGAATGTGGTCCCCTTGGAAGGGACAAGGGACTTTAAGGGTGCGATTTCGAAGTTCCAAGGTTTTACAGATAAAGTTCGAAATTTTGTCGAAAGAAATTTTAGGTTTTTTTCACTAAGGAATTCCTATTTTCGCCCAAAAAGAAAAGAGCAGGGCGAACATGGTTTCCTTGGAAGGGACAAGGAACTTCATGCGGCACGCACTTTTTCTTCTAAAGAATTCCAAGGGCTCACAAACAAAGTACCTTTGGGCTTTTTTTTCACTGAGGAATCCCTATTTTTGCCCAAAAAGAAAAGAGCAGGGCGAATGTGGTCCCCTTAGAAGGGACTAGGGGCTTTAAGGGCGCGAAATTTTCGAAGTTCCAAGGTTTTACAGATAAAGTTCGAAATTTGTGGAAAGAAATTTAGGCTTTTTTTTCACTGAGGAATCCCTATTTTTGCCCAAATAGAAAAGAGCAGGGCGAACATGGTCCCGCTGGCAAAAAAGACTAGGGGCTTCAGGAAGCGAAATTTTTTTTAGGAGTTCCAAGCTTTACTGACAAAATTTGGTGTCTTAAGAACTTTCGGTTTTCTTCTCACTGAGGAATTCTTACTTCTGCTCAAAAAAAAAGAGGGGCCAACACGGTCTCGTTGACAAGGACCAGGGACCTTATGCAACACGAACTTTTTTTTAGGAGTCCTAAGGTTTTACAGCCAAATTGCGAGGAATTTGATGAAAAATACTTCTTTCTTTTTCACTGAAAACCTACTTTCTCCCCAAAAACAAGAGAGCAGGGCGAGCATGGTCCCGCTGGCAAGAAAAAACGGGAACTTTGTGGGGCGAAATTTTTTTAGGAGCTCCAAGTTTAACAAACAAAATTTGATCTCGAAAAAACTTTCGGTTTTCTTCTCACTAAGGAATTCTTACTTCTGCCCAAACAGAAAAGCTCAGGACGAATATGATTCCGCTGCCAAAAAAGACTAAGGGCTTTGAGCGCGAAATTTTTTTTAGGAGCTCCAAGTTTAACAAACAAAATTTGATCTCGAAAGGACTTTAGGTTTTCTTTTCACTGAGGAGTTCATACTCCTGCCCAAACAGAAAAGGTCAGGGCGAGCATGGTCCCGCTGGCAAAAGAAGTCTAAGGGCTTTGGAGCGCGAAATTTTTTTAGGAGCTGTTTAACAAACAATTTGATCTCGAAAAAACTTTAGGTTTTCTTTTCACTGGGAAAATCCTACTTTTGCCCGAACAGAAAAAGAGCAGGGTGAGCATGGTCCCGCTGGCAAAAAAACCAGGATCTTTGTGGGGCGAAATTTTTTTTAGGAGTTTCCAAGCTTTACTGACAAAATTTGATGTCGAAAGAACTTTCGGTTTTCTTTTCACTGAGGAATACATACTCCTGCCCAAACAGAAAAGGTCAGGGCGAGCATTCCGCTGGCAAAAAAAGACTAGGGGCTTCGTGGGCGCGAAATTTTTTTTGTGAAGATTCTTAGGAGTGTTAGAAGATGTTGTATTTTTGATAGGAAAGCTTTGGAGGTAATGAGTGTGTTCCGCGTCCTGGGAAAAACAGAGGCCTTGAAGTATTATAGTTATTTGGATCAAGTGTATGAAAATTTAGAATTACAAAGAAATTCCGCTTCTCTCGAAAGAGCCGGTTAATCAATAAATTTCGCTTCACTTAAAAAAACCTTGAATTATCAAAACCTTTGGATCCATTGCAAGAATTTTTAGGCACAACAAAGTGGCGGTGGTTCTACAATAGGACTGAGAGGCGTTTCGCGAACTCCGTGTCTTTTAAGGAAAAGCCTAAAGATAAAAAGGAAATCTTTAGCGCTAGCAAAAATTTTGTGGATTTAAAGGAAAGGCTGTCTTGTGGAAAAACTTTAATAATCGATGTTACCGCTTAACCTCTGATAGAACCTAAGGTGCGAAAGGAATTCGAATCGAATACACGGAATTTTGGAGAAGTGGTTGTTGGAACTTCAGAGGAATTTTGATCACGTTGCTAAGAAGCCTTGTTTGGAAAATATTTGCAGAACTTTCCGAGTAACCCATGGGTAATCGAGATTAACTTTGGTAAGACTGTAAGTGCTCAAAAACGGTGCAGCAAATTGTGAATATTCTTTTTTGTCATTGTACCGTAAGAACATGAAGCAAATAGTTTTTGTTCAAATGTCCCTATTGTTAGTGTGCAAATAAGTGTAACTTTGACTCACTATGAATTGGCCTCAACCCACTTGCTAGCGACCCGTAGGGTCGCTAGTACATACATACATACAGACAGACATACAAACAGACATTCAGCTTTATATATAAGATTTCGTGCACGGTATAACTGTTGCATGACCGGAATGAATAGACGATGGTTACTAATTAAACTTGATTCGTCTATTCACGTACTCAGTCATACTTTGAGTTATCAAAAAGTTATCAAAGCTATCAAGAACACCACAGGTGATATATGTCAATGGGTCAATTCTCCAAGTGTCTCAAAAAAAATTTGAGATCCAAAACTGCTCAATCCCAGTGAAGTCTTGACAAGGAGAACCGAAGCCCATGAAAACACCTTCCCTCTAACAATCTTTTTATACTTAACCGCCCGCGTCCCCCTTACTCATGACTATTCAGCACTTTACCCAGAACCGCTTTCTTTTCGCTTTCAACTTTCATGAAGAACAATCTGATCTATGGTGGCAATTAATCTTGCTATGGCTCGCTGTTGTATATGTGTACATCATGCTCTGATAGTTTTAAAAATGGCTTTTTTAAAAAACCTTACCTCTTGGTAGATATACTCCGTCATATTCTTCGTGTGTATATTCTTCTTTTCTACTTGCAAAAACTCAGCTATCGGTTTTAGAGTGATTCCCTGTAAGGTTAGATGAGTAAACGAGTTTTTGAAGGCTAAACAATGATACCTGCAAGAAGACTGTGAAGTAGATAACAACAATACAACTGGTAATAAACATATTTTTGGCTGGAATATTTGGCAAAGCTACCACCAAACCGTAAGCGATTGCTCCACGCAAACCTCCATAAGCCATGATGAACTGGTCAACCTGAAAAACGTTTTCTGATATAGTCATTCTCTTTTCGAATAAGAAACATTCAAACCTTTGAAAACTTATTCAGGCGGTACTTGTTCAGTACAAAACACATAACAACAACTCCTAGGGTACGGTAGATGAGACAAAATACGGTAGTCAGAACTATGAAAGGCGTATCCCAATGGTGATCGGATGAGACCGTGGATAGCCCAAGGAAGACGAAGATCACAGTTTCAGAGCACATGGAGAGCACCTAGAAAAATCTCCAGATGTTGAAGAAGCAATCTCGTGATTTCTCGCTCTCCTTGAAAAGTCCTAAAAGCTCACCTTGATGAAATAGTTGATTGCAAGTAGATTTTGCTCGGGCACGTTCAGCTTTACATATTGTTTCATAGCAGCTCCACAGAACACTATACTAAATGAGAAATGCTTGATTGTCTGAAGAGGCCCTAGCAGAATATAATTCACTCACGCCATAATACTGGATAGACCGAACATTTCAGAGACTAGGTAGGCTAGGAAAGGAAGCGCAATAACGAACACCGGATTCAAAACGGCAACTTCCGAATGGTGCGTATATCTAAAGAACTATTCTAACTTGCACTGACTAAACAGGAGTTGCAGGTAATTAAAGTGGAAGTAAACATATTCAGCGATCGCAGAGTTAAAGCACACTTCGCTTTTTTTGCAGGAAAAAACCGGAATCAAAGGAAGAGATTATGAAGAAGATATACAAGACTTTGCGACACGTTAAAACTGAAGACGGGTTTAGGATCTTTGAGTGTCGTTGCTGTAACTTCCTAAAAATGGAATTAGGATGGAGATTTATTTTACCCAAGCAAGGCTCTCTTGATAAATATGCCATGTCATTTATGTTGGCACATTAGGTAAAGGTAAGGAACCAAATCCTATTTCGCATCAGACGCGTACCCATACGCCAACATCTGGTAAAGCTAGAAAGGGAGCATCCGAGGTAGACGTGGCATTTTCAGAGTATGTGGAAATACTTAACATACTCGTCCCGGAACGCTAATAACAACTTTTGGAGGAGATTATGATTATTTTGCGGACGAAATTTTCTTGCTGGCGCGGTTGCTTGCTTTATGCTGTGGATAACAATGATGGTCCGCCATTATATTTACCTTTCGATTCATCGGGATTGGCGGATGGAAGGCGACCACTCGACTCGCGACGCGGTCCGCGTCTCTCTCGCGAGCGCGCTCTCTAATCAGACCCTAACCTTGAGGCCTCGAAGCCCCGCCTCCCAGCCACCACTCCCGTTGAATCAAAGGTTATATACTATAATCCGAATTTGATTGCCGAAAAGAACAAGAAAATTTTGCATTTCCCATTCTTCGATCTACAATAATGCAACTTTGCCTAAAAAACCTTTACAAATTCCTTCAAAAAAAATTTTTGCAGCGAACATAGATTTGGAATCTGCATTTCAAGGAGAGCTTTCCATGTAGAACCCATTTCGGAAGGCCACGATGACCTCGGTAGTTTCTTGTAAGTATAATGCTTTTGAGAACACAGTGGGGCAGCAAAATGTGCACCTAATGTGATCACGATCATAACAAAATGTTTTTTTTCACACGGTGGAACTGCATTGTATAACAAAAGATTTTCTTTTCTCTCGCTCTTCTACTCTTCGAGTTACTTGGCACTGATTCTATTCTTGTAAGCGTGTTTAAATTTTCTGGAAGACATGTGCTTTTCGCATCTTCTTGATAGACCTTCCTTTACATGATTATGCACAATAGCGAGTACTACTCACTTTGTTATAAAACTGGCAAACAGAGCGACGAGAAGGCCGATGCCTATTCCACCGAAGCAGACAACAAGGTATGAGATACCACCATTGACATAATCCATTGTAATGAGATTCTCGGTTCCTATCTCGGTAAACGAGGCGAACATACGGTAGAAGACCTGAGATTGTTTTCAAAAATATTGAAACGATTTTTATTTGTTTTGTGAAAAATCTTTTTTCTCGGTTTCAAAACAAAAGAGGAAGATATTGTTCAAGGATAATGACTTACAACAGCCACACCATCGTTGAGTAATGATTCACCAAACACACTGATGAAGAGTATTTCGTTGACCTGCAAATTTTACAATTTATTGGTTCTGATTTTCGTGTTTTAGTGGTTGCTCCCTTTTGTCGCCTCGACACCAGTTAAGTTTCTTTTGCAGTTTGCAACTTTGCTTCTGGTACTGATAATGCAGGAGACCCTGACGCGTATGCCATAAATTAAAAGATGTCCAATGATAAAGAAAAATCGATTCGTTGATTTTTAGACTCGCGTGGTGTGCCTTTCGAAACGTTAAAGACTAGAGAAGTATAGAAATAATAGGTGCCTACCAAAAAAAGTAAGTTCAAAGGAATAATTGTATAAAGATTCTCTGCTAAGTAGAAGTTCGGAAATACAAGACAGACAATTTTACCTCTTTTTACAAAATGATCTACTCTTTCAGTAAGAATCGAATGACCTAAGTTGGACCGGACAATGATTTATGCCCATGTTGTTTCACAGCTATATTTTTTCTGATATTCTTGCGTTATGACATCGGAGTCTTGGATCGAATCTGATAAAGAAAAAAGGGCTGTAGAATCTCATACAGAAAAAAACTGACTTTTTGAGTCTTGGGTCGAAGCTAACAAAGCAAGAAAGAAGTGTAGCTAATGGAGGAAAAAAAAACTAACTCCCAGTTCTTCGAATATAACGATGACAGCTACAGGATCCACATCTGCAGCTACCGAACCGAACAAGAGAAGGTGAATAAGTGGAGTTTCCACAGAGAAGAGACCCGTCAGTGAGATAGCCCAGAGTGAAAGTGCTGCAAGGTTGAATTTGCTAATGTAATGAAGGATAAGGAAGCATGAAAAAGTAAAGTGCAACAACTCATTTATCATTATTGCAAACAGAAACTTTCTGCTTTTTAGATTTTTCTATCCCCATGATTGCGTACGCAAAAATCTAAATCAAAAATCAAAATGAACTCACAGATTGCGACAATGTTGAAAGTGGTGCCAATCATGGCGAAGCAAAGGATGGAACCCAAGTTATCAAAAAATTGTCGCGCAGGCATGAAGTAACCTAAAAACGAGTACTTATTTTATAATTACAGTATCGTGATGATTTAGTCCGCGCATTTGTAACTAACCAGCATCAAACACCAGCGGTGGCAGCAAGTACAGCATGAACACCTCACTGTCAAGAAAGAACTCATTCTAGAAATCATGATTTTCATTTAGTTTTGCACAAATCACTTCAATTTTACTTACTTTAGCGACTCCTATAAGGTTGAATATGATGCCAATAATGAGACCAATCATGATAAGCAGTGCTGAGTCGGGAAACATCTCGGTTAGATGTGGAATAGCATGGAAAACTGAATCAGAATGTATTGAGCTCTTGGAGGCAGACTTGTTACCAATGACTCACTGATTTTGGCTATGCTAGCAAAAATTAGCCACAATGATATGGTTAACGGCCCTTTTACTTCCTTCCATTTAAAAAGAGCAATGGGGTAGCGAGTGAGCACCTCCTCTTCTTCATCTTCTGACTGAAAAATATTATTGGAACTTCTTAATGCCATCATGGTTCCAACAATTTTTCGCGCTGATTTAATTTATACTCGTAACCAAGGATGTTATAATATGATACATCCTGAGCGTACAATGTCTATGCATTAAAATAGCAGTTATTTATTGTAGTCTAGCAGGTTTTCTTCAGATTTGTATCCTCAGAAAGAGACCTGACAAATTCACATTTTGTTGCAGTGCTATTATCTTGGCTGCGAATGAGTTTCTATAGAAAATTTTATCAAACAAAATACTATATCGAATATGCGAACCATTTGATTTCACAAAGATAGTGGTGATTTACAAATCCGAAAAGTAGAGTCTCACGGTACCTTCTTCGTATTAGTTAAGCGCCATACTTGATCCGCTTGATCCGCTTCATCCACTTCGCTATTGACCAAATCAGCAAACTGGCTAATAGTGAGGTGGATGAAGTGGATCAACGGATCGAGTATGGCGCTTGCCTTACCCTCAAATTAGCAAACTGCTAGTTGAATACTATGGGTACTGCTTCTTAGTAAAAAAAAAACGGTACAGGCACGAGGTAAAGCAAAATTACTTGTGCTTAGATTCGTAGTCAAAAGATTCTTCTACTCCTGAATATGCACATACCTCGCATTTCGAAGCCACGGTGACTGCTAGTGATAGTCCTAAGAGTATTAACCATAAACATTGCCTATCCATCCCGACTATTGCGGTCTAATCCTGCAAAAATGATTTGGTCATACAGAGAAGAACCGACAGTCAGAAGCAAACTGGAGGAGAGGAATGGTAAATGAGTTACATCAAGTTTTTTCCATGTTACCATCCCCTAAGTCACTTCAAATAGTTACTGGGCAAGCATCCAATACTTGCAAAATCCTAACGGCTAAAGTCAAACTGATACTGAAAAAAACTGGTGCAATGCAGCTTTGAAAAAAATAGTACACTATTGCTTTTGAGAAAAAAAATTGTTTGCGAGTTTTTTCGCCGCGACGTACGCAGCTATAGTGTCATAATCACCAAAATGTTATGACTTTGCTCAAAGTAATTTTTGTCAAATAACGGGCATTCTAATCGCTGATAGTTTGAGGACCAAAATAGATCTCGAAATTTTAAAAAAGCTTTTGTTCGCTCTTTCGCTGCTCAGTGTCGCTCACATATTTGACCACTAAGCCTCCGGATAACAGTATTTGAACATGCTATATCGTATCGCGATTGCGTTGGAGCTCTATTGCCTAATAAACTTTGTCGAAGTTGGATAATTTTGAAATTTGATTTTGTTGACAATGTACACCATTTGAACAACTTCCAGCATTATTGCTTGCCTCAAAGCACTAACACTAGCACAACATATATGTAATGAATGTTGTTTGCGCGGGTAGATGAAATACGAAATCCAATAGTTATAGTAGTCGCTCGTACAAGCTGGAGTGCTGTTTGAATGTCGTGGCTCAAAATAATGGTGAAACAAACGGCGTCAATTTATCTACACGCAAGCACAAGATCAATTCCAAATCTCTATAGAGCGCTGTCAGCTAGTAAATCCTGTTTGTCCAATCTTTTTTAATAGAAACTTTGTTGATGTGCTTGCCCACGAAGTCTTCTATTAGGTTGGTCCATTCCATAAGTCCTGCATCAAAATTTTTGAAAACCCATGCTTTTAAATAGTATCAAGAACGAAGCTGGCATAGCACACCGATACAAGCTGATAAGTAGAGACGCTTGAGCGTTCACAAAATCTTGTTTTTGACATTGTTTTAGAATCCTTTCAAATGGGAGAAAATTTTGCTAATCGAAAATTTCTTTCGACTCTACTTGATATTTCGATTTTGTTTGAAACAAATCTCTGAAAAGTTTTGATAAAACGGAGTACTAGTGTATGTTACAAATGTAATAAGATTTTTAAAAAATTTTAAGATTTTATACAGAATTTTTTTTTTGATTTTTACTGACGCAAGACTTACGGACATATGGAAGAGATAGTAAAAGGGACTTCTGCTAAGGAAGCGGTTGATGTCACTGATTTTTACTTGAAATCTGAGGAAAGCTTTTTTTTACAAGATTTACTACCCGCTAAAATGAATGAATAAAATAAAGAGAGGCATAAAATGAGCGCAGCAATGATATTAGGACCAAACTTTCAAAAATTTCTCTGTAATGTCTATCACACCGTGATGCCATTAACTATCCTGCGAAATGAATGAGTTTTTATTTCTGCACAATTCTGCTAACAAGGCAGGCTCTTTATAAAGATTACGTCATGTTTTTGTAGCGATGACATACGGTAACGGTAAGTGAGCATAGAAGGCTACCATCTTCAATTTTATTCCTAGGTCGGTGTTTTTGAACTGTGTTTGTTATTTGTTTTGGTAATGGCATAAAGGTAGGGAGAACTAAAAAGATCACCGTGGTTTCTGGCTAAGTATCATCTGAAACAACGCTGCGTTATCGAAATGGCACCTCGATAAACATAATGGATCGCTTAGTTACCGAAAAAAATGTTTAACACTGCACTTGGCCCAAATGCTAAAATAGAACTGAATACGTGCAATACACAGATTCAAATTCGAATTTTATTTTCTCTGTATATTTCTGCTATTCTTTGTCCCATTTGTTGGAGGTTTAGAAACTTTGCAAGAAGTTGTTCTAGTTCTTTTAGTGTTGCCCCAAAGCAATTGAAAGAAACTTTGCAATATCAGGTCAGCATTGAATTGTTCGATTTGTATGACGACTCCAAATATAATATAATATGGATACGTAACAAAAAAACTTTAGGTGTGAGATATGTAAAAGTAGAAGTTTCAGTAAGAAGTCTAGGCAGAAATGGTGGATACTTGGATATTTTTCATTTGAACGTACATTTTCTAACGTTTGTGCAGTTCGATCAGAAATGAAGTCGGATGTGTTTAGGAGTAACAAAGGTTTTGTCAAACTCAAGCCTATGACCAAAATTATATAATGAAAGCCTGATTTCGAATCTAATTTATAGTAGTAGTGTGTTAACAACGAAGGAGGATCAAGACTAAAGTGAAGTTGATAATCTTATGAAATAGAGCAAACTGTTCAAGCAGAAGTTAGCTGTCTGTACAGTAGCGCCGTCTGCAGTGATAAGCGCTAAGTACGCGCTAATCCCTCGAGAAAGGAAATTGTTTAAGCTGGGCGTAGTAGTGGTAGGAAGAGCAGCGCAGTGCGAGAGGCGCCCGGATTTCGATAAGGTCTCGGCAACGCTGCGGTCGGAAAGAACGGCAACTTATCAGTCAGAGCACGAAAGCGCTGCGTTGATTACGCATACGATGACGTAGATTGGATGGGTAAAACTCACACAATAATAGGAGAAAGCGATATGTGAGGTTGATCAGCTTGACTTCCTCAGAAGACTTTCTTTGCTGAATTGTGAGATGCGGGAGTTCTAAGAAAATTAAAATGATGGGCTCAAGAAAACTTTCGGAGTGCCTGTGAGTGAGCGCTATTCAAAGTAGGGCAGCCAAGATAAAAATACGGTCATGTACCACAGGCTATGCAGTTCCAATGGAATAAAAATTTTACCATTCGAATCCAAATCTTTATTTTACATACATATATCAAAACCTGGTTTTTTAAGAAACCTTCCATACAGGGCCAATCATACCTGAGTTTTGTATCATAGGAATGGCAATCAGTTGACAGAATGATTATTTTTGCTTGTCTATACTGGCTACTTTTTTCATTATGTTACCCTTTTTATTGATGTTCTTCCATTCAAACTTGCCTAGATCTTCTCTCTATTTTCTGTTTTTTCAGCCTTACGAATTCATCAATATTGTTTTATGCTGTGATATTGACGACAAAGCTCCTATAGACTTTGTGGTAAGTTACAGCGTATTTCGCCGAGCATTTCCTGACCTATGTCGTAGTTGTCATTTCACTGCAAAACTACATCTGACTCACAAATTTTCCTTTGTAAAGATCCGGTCTTTGGTGAGAATTATTATGAAAGAAAGTCTGCGATCAGAAGAAATGTTACAGAACCGTGCTCGAAAACCAACCGTATTCTTCGTTTTCGAGGTGCTCCTAGTTTTCATAGCATTTATGTGTAGAAGATGTAATATTATTTTGCTTGCAATTCCCACGTCGAATATATTGTGAGGAAATTTTACTCTTTGTAAAAACCATGATAATGTGATTGAGCTACTTCCTGCTTCACATTTTTTTTTCTTTTTTCCACAATCCTATGATCATGGAGCATTCCCGAATAGCTTTTCTGCAAATCGTCTAAAAGTAGTCTATGTCCACACACTAGAGATTATGACTATTTTGTAGACTGAGTAGGAAGAACGTTGCCATTATCTACGCCTTGAAAAGCGTAAAGCCTACTCATGAATCAACCTTTTGTGGACAGTATTGACGTTCATATGCGTATATGCGGTCGAATTAACCCGCCTATTCGTTGACTATGCCTCGTAATTTGTTTTTGGATCCCGAAAAACACACAGCATCATGGCAAGTATAAATAACGAGAATAAGCTAGAATTGGCATTTCCACAATTCTCCTCACTCGTACACTTCAGATGTTTGGTTGGCTTCTGCTCGCTGTCACGGTCGGTCATGCGCAACACATCGGCCGCCAGCATGAGTCGGTAAGGGTGCAGGGCACGGTGCTCTGCAACGGAACCGGCTATCCTGATGCGAAGGTGATATTCTTCAATCACAAAGTGGGTGAGTGTATTTGGTTTTGCAAAGCAATGCTCTCGCTCACATTAGTTCTGTGATCAACATTGATATATCCCTTGCCTGGGAGTGATCTCTTCGCAAAGGCTCGTACTGGTCATTATGGAACATACTTGAACTTACGAACGTAGCGTCACTGGTCATTCAATCATTCTTCCACATTAACTACAAAAATGATCCTCCTATAATATGCACTTTTTTCACGCTTTCGGCACTATTTAACATTCGGTCCCCAAAATTTTGCAGGCGTGAAATCTGTTAAAATTGGTCCAGAGGAGTTATCTAACATGCTGATTAGGAGACACACTTTTCCGCACGAACACGTCCCTTCGTGTGGTTGCGGTGAATGTACAGTAAGGGACGATTTCATGGATTTGGCTAAAATTTGCTACGAAAACTAGTGGACATGCTTATCACAAAAATCATACTCTTTCCGGTTGGTGGAGCCTTTTCACATAGACTTACAGTAAGTTTACGGCACGAAGTCAAAATTTGCCCTGAACCTCGTCTAAGGAGTCATTTGGCCCGCTGAACGAGTGAACTTTCCATACGATGAGCAATTCCGTGGTGCGAGGTTGTGAACACCGATGGCCAGGTGTGAAGTCACCTCCGCGTCTAGTATACTCTCAGACAATCAAATGCTCTCAGCCGGCAGCCACAAAGCCACCGCCTAGACCCACCAAAAGCGCGGTGGCCTCATCGCCTCACTGTCGCTTCCCGCTGAGAGCTTTGTCGGAGTTTTGTCGGAGCTTGTCGGAGCGGGCTCAGCGGGCAGCGAGCCCGCTCCGACAAGCTCCGACAAAACTCCGACAAAGCTCTCAGCGGGAAGCGACAGTGGCTGCGATAAGGCAACGACGCTTTTGGTGGGGCCCGCTGAGAGCCTGTGATTGTCTGAGCTGTAGGACCGGGGAGGGGGGGGGGGAGGATTTCATGATCCCACACCACACTGACCTTTTGTAAACGATCCAATTGAATGGCAGTATGTTTTGAGCCTGCTGTCTCCATCCCAAAAAAAGCATCTGGAGCAGCTTTGCAGTTATGCGGTGAAATCCTTTACTGACATAAATATCAGTATAATTGTAGGAAAGTATTCTTAGCAAAAGCTGAGTCTTCACTAACAAGTTCTTCTTACGGAATTTCTAATTTTTGAGTCGGTATAATCGGTTTTTATTTGCAAATCTTCTAACCTGAGAAATACCAGAAGCTGTCTATCCGACCTTTTAACCTGCAAAAAAGAGAAAAGTGATAGAAAATTAGAAGTATTGAGAATTTCGCTCAAGAGAAGATTGAAACGATTGTATTCATTGGAAGACGGTCAACAGCGCGAATCCTATGTAGGTCGTCAACCTGAAGCGCAGTTCAGTAATATGCGAGGATTTAAAAAAATGCCGAGAAAAGTGCTTTGACTTACTAGTTATTCGTGCCACTTGATGAGTTTGACGTTTGATGAGTGCATTTTGAAGGGTATCATTTATGTTCTGGATTTGGCGTGCTAATAAAATCAAAAACCCGTGCGGATATATTACCTCATTACAAACTTCAAAAGCATCCAGAGCACTCTAGAACACGAATTGCTATTTGTTTGGCTGGCATTGAAAATCGCGCCTCTTGACATACAAAAGACTTTACTCATGTTCCTTACTAATGCTTGTCTTGTACATTTTCGATAATAGATCTTCATCTTCATTGTAATCGATGGGTCGTAATATTAGCATCCTGGCACACTGCCAGGTCAAGGTGACCGGGAAGCCCTATGAAAGTCCCCCTCCCCCCCCCCCCTTTCCAGCCGTAGTGAAGAATCCGCATCACTACGTGGATTGAGAGGTGCAAAGTAGGTGTGAGATAGGTGCGAAGACTAGGGGAAGTTCCCGTTCGTATGAAAAGTCCCCTTCCCACGCTGAACGAATCTAAATTGAAATTTTGCTCAAATTTCGCCTAGGGGGGTTTTTGAGCATGCTGAGCATACAATACCGCTCACATTTTTTGAAAAAAAGACGCGAATGTATGGACATGTATGGACATGTACGGACATGTCCATACATGTTTGGACATGTCCGTACATGTCCGTACATGTCCATACATGTATGGACATGTCCATACATGTATGGACATGTCCATACATCAGCGTCGCGTGGCCATATCTCGCTTCAGAGTGGGCGAATTCTGAATCCAAAGCCACCATTCGATTCAGCTCGGCGCGGAGAATCTTCTGATATACTGGAGGTGGGGGTACGATGTCTTCAATATTCCGTTTCCAGTTTTTTCAATCTGTTCTGCGGAGGTCCTTTCGTGAATATGCGAAGCAACGCCTACCCAACATAGAAGACTTTACTAAGTACTTTTAGATGATATTGTTCTTGTAGATTATTGTGCGCCAAAAAATAGGCTCAGACTTCTTTCCAAAGTAGATAGAAGCGTTGGTGAATTTTGGAAAAATCACGCGTCTTCAAATTCTACTGGCCATAACTTCCTTCGAAATAAGTATATTTTGAATCCGAAAACAGCGCCTTGCTCAGCTCATCAAGGCGAATCTTCTCATATACAGCATGTCCTTGATATTTCGATTTCAGTATTCTTGAATCTTTCTGAGGACGTCTATTCGCGAAGGTGTAATGCAGCGAGCATTGACCTGAGTACATTCCAGCAAGGATTTTTCGATAGCACTTTTTCTGTAGATTATGAGCTGCTAAATAGTAGCCGCAGGTTCCTTTTCAAAGGAAATAGAATGACTGGTGAATTGTGGAAAAATCTTGTCGTCCCAAATTCTACTCGCCATATCCGCAGGATACGAAGCTATCTTGCTAAGCAGATGTGACTTTCGAAATCAGCAGGTCGCATAACTTCTACGAGCAAGTTTTCCGATATGTTCGGGTTATTCCATTTTTTCTCGTTTTAGGCTCCGGAAGCTCGCCGATGGATTTTGGTCAAAATGTTGATGCTCTTGAATTGTAAGGAAACTTCGCTTATAGAGGTTTTCGAACACGCTCTTTACGAAAATCATGGTCTTTGAGGATTACAGGGTCTTTTTGGAGAGATACGGTGAGGTGACTGTGTCACGATAAAGGTCTGCAGGTCCTTTACCTGATGTGTAGCGGGGTTTACATAAGTCTTACTATAATGTTTATTATGCAAACTATTTACAAAAGGGGAAAGGGAAGGGGGGAAGAGGGAACCGTCTCCTGACGGCGGGCGGAGATCACTGCCAGAGGTTCCTTATCTAAGGCCAACCTCCATCGCGGGCAGCTGTTGGGTAATAGCTGCGTCCCGACATCTCCATTCCTTCAGAAAGCTCGTCCTCGAGCTTGTTTGGCTTTTGTTGAACTGTCTTCCGAGTTACGTGTGTTAGAATACACGTGATACGGCGAGACCATAGAGAACTTCGAATTCGGTACCATTATCTTCAGATTTATATCGATCGAGTAGGGACTTTGGTTTAGGCGAGCTGGATAACCAACCAACGACCTTCACCTCATCCTGGGGGTACTGAGTAAGCTTGTCCTCAAGCTGAGAAATAAAAATGTAGGATGTGACGTTAAGGACTGCTTGGAAATGGCAGTGACATGTAGTTGCATGGATAAGGCATGCTTTCGGAGACTGACGGATGGAAATACTTTTATGTGGAGATTCTAGGAGTGTGATGACGTGACTGGTTTTTGAAGAGTAGTAAGTGGAAATTGGGTGAGGGAAACAGCTTTTGTTTAGAACATGAATAAAAACAGCTTGGCGAGCGAAAAATACGTAGTTAACAAAGTATTAGATGGTACTGAATGATAGCAATTGTGAAGTTATATTTTACATAAGTAGTTAAACGACATGTGGAATTTTGGGACTGTAATAATAGTACACTGAATTTGAATTAAGTGACACATAATTGTACAATATATAAATAAATGCCATTGTTTACATAACCAAGAGGAAGATATGCTCAATTAAGCACAACAAACTGTATTTAATTCAACATGTTGGCAAATTATGAGTGTTAGAAAAATGGGGATTTTTTTTCGCTGCCTAATACGAAATATTTTTTTCATTCTTTGAATTGCCGATTCAAAGAATTTCATGCTTATAGGTAAACGCAGCGTTGCGGCAAAATATTTGTAAACAAACTCACATCGGAAAAATCTTGCGAGTGCAAAAAGAAACGCTGTTAATCAGTTTTTTTTGAACTGATTGCGTTGAAAAATTGTCTTGTGGTTTTGCAACTGATTTCAAGACTACAATCATGAGTAAAAAAATGATATCGTTTATCTTCTGATGTTTTCCTTTTTTTAAGCATTTTTTTTTCGAAATTAGGTTTGGAAAACATTAACCGATAACCGACATTTACAAAACGGAAATGCAGATCGAACTATACAGCTTGAAAAAAACACAACAATCGTGCCAGCATAGAAATACACTACCAGAACGCTTCCGCTGCAAAAACTACAATTTTAGCTTATGGGTTATAAGTATGAAAACTTCAGCGGAAGTGATCCCAACATCATGTGTGTTAATTCACTACTAACATGCAATGTGTAAGGCTGTTTTTGTTTCTTCAACGTCCAAATCCAATATAAAAATATAGAGTGATAGTTCCTGAATTCTGCTGAAATCTGTAAAGGAATCATTACGTTCTTTTCTAGGAGAAAAAAACGAGGACTGGATGACGTGAAACGTTGTAAACAGTTTCCTTTTCATTCCCAAGAATGAATTTCACTGCGACAAAAGAAAAACTATGCTTTCGTTGCTTTGCCAGCTTCGGCTGATCACTTTCAAAAAAAATGCGGTCATTGCTTCCGTTCAGAATTTCAATCTGGATATCTTAACATGTTCAGAAGCACTGAGGATTTTTTTTTGGCAAACAGCAAGTTTTTTCTTTTGTGTAAAAGAGAATTGTTCTCTGAAAACAATCTCCATTCAGCTACAAGTAATATTCTCTGAAAATATTTTTAGTTGTAGTTCTGAATGCTACGTTTATCAACGTAAAGCAGACTTGGTTTGTGCAATCG